ATTGTACGGAATCAACTAAATATATGTCTACATACCCTCATCAGAAGCAGCCTACAATAGCAGGGTATTGTATGGAATCAACTAAATATATGTCTACACACCCTCATCAGAAGCACATCACTAAGAAACTCGTCAATTTTATTGCCGGTACATTGCAACCCTTCGAAGTGGTGGAGTCAACAGATTTTCAATATATAATGGTAGTTATGGATTATCAGTATATTCTTCTCAGTTGCAAGCATCTGTCCAAAATATTGATCAAGAGCAGGTTTGATGAAGTCCAATAAAAAGTCATCACTTTACTACAACTTATACCCAACATCAATGTCATTGTGGATATGTGGAGTAGCAAACAAATGTGCAGCTTTCTTGGAGTCACTGGTCATTTTATACATGATTGGAAAATGTAAACATTTGTGCTGGCATGTCAGAGTTTCAAGGGGTGTCACTCATCTGATAACATTGAAGCTCAATATAATGAAATAAATCTCTAATAACATCAACAATAAGGTGTCATATGTGACATCTGATAATGCATTCAAAATGATCAAGGCTTTCTGCTTGCCTGGACTTGAATCACAAACACTACCTAGTATGAGAGATGGTGATAACTCATCCACATATAGTGATAACTCATCTGCAGATGGTGACTCAGAAGATGAACTTTTGGATGAGTCTAAATTTTCAGACAATTTATCCAAATTTCTTCCTCAACATGACCCCTGCTCTTCCCACATGTTACAGCTTATTATTATATCAGGGATGGCATGAAGAAAGCTGGGCCACTACTGAAAGTAATTTCCAAAGCATTGGCCATTGTGTCCTACAATCAAAACTCAATGCAAACTACTGATCTACTTGAGAGAGAGGCCAGAGTTCAATCAGTAACACCAACACAGTGGTACTCGGAAATTACGATGATTAAAAATTTTTTATTGAAGATTCCCCCAGGAGAAGTTGGATAATTTAGATACTGGTACATCAAAACTTACTTTTCATGACCAAATTGTACTTGCAGATTTGTTGACAATACTGATACCTTTTGAAGAGGCAACAGATTTCACCCAGGGTCAGAACATTGTTACCTCCAGTTATGTAGTGCCATGTGTATATGGGCTGAAGACTGAGATTGACAGTAAGTAGTCCAGATATAATTTCAATCATGTTTCTACACTGAAGAAATCTGTTCACACCCAGCTGACTCGGTATGAGCAATGAAGTGTCTTCTGGTTGTCTGTGGCATTGGATCTCAGATTTAAACTTGACTGGTGTTTCAATAGACCTGTTGTCGACGGATCCAATCGAATGCTCCTGCAGCAAGAAGTCAAAGAAAATTTCCTTAACAAATAATCCCACAACCATGGAACCATAAGAGGGCTGTAAATCCCCCCCCCCATCTCGAAGGAAGTGAGTTCTTCAGTTTCTTTGCTGCCTCCAAGAAACCAGCCATCTCATCCTCAGAGCATA